GCTTCACCTGAAGTGTAAATTAACAGGAATCATTAAATTGAAGTACCAAGTGGTTAACAGTAGAAGACTTCCTCACCTCCTGGGTGTCTCTACTGTTTGTCACAGGTTTGTTTTCGTTGTTCTCCAATGTGATGTGCTTTAGGATGTTATTGGGAACATCCTTTACAATATGCCACTTGACAGGAAAACAGCCAATCCACTTGTCCTGCTGCCAGTAATCCAATGTTTTGTTAAAATCAACTCGACCTACCATTTCAGCAACACCAACGAACTGCCCACTTGTGTTGACCTATATGTCAACAGCAAAAGAATAAGCTATCTAATGAAATAGCATTGAGAGAAGGGAAATAGATTCCTACAATTGTATAGTGATGCTTACAGAGAAGAACAAGAAGACAGGGCATCCATTAGTCTTCTCCTTAGATTCCTGATAAGCAGCATCAAGCTTCTTGTTCCCATGGGGAGTGCTGGCCCAAACATTGTACTTGATACTCTTGTGGATATCATCTTCACTGTATGATTTAATGATGAAAAACTTAGCATCTGAATATGTTTCAGGAAAGTCTGACTTGTTGTACTGTTCCTTTTCAGGTATGACAGTAGAATCCTGAACATTTAGGTTTGCAGGAAGGCTCTGTCCTCTTACAGCAAGAGTAATATTAGGTCCAAAGACCTGATTTCTAAAGCGACCAGCCCTAGGTCCTTTATTAAGCTCGCTCAACCCATCCAAGTTCTCATTACCATAACCATAGAATCCATTGCCACGGCCTCTTGGCTTATACTTGATATCCATAGGCATTCCCCATCTTCCATTCATTCGGGAGTTGTACATATTTGAACAAAAATTCTGACCAACAATAAATCCATTAATATTTTGGCCATACATTCTGCTGTTAGGATACATCTTGTTCACAATTCCAGGAGCTGCTGGCCTTGGAGCATGCATTCCCTGGGAAAAAAATGTTCCATAAAATTGTAAGACAATTTGTCATAAAAGAAAACCAGAACAAACAAAGGAAAACAATTAAGCTGCAACTGTTGCACCAAAAGCATGCCAGCGACGGATCAACTCGGAAAATATTTGCAAGTAAGATTTTACATAGAGACAAAGCATATATAGATTCAAGAGTAGCTCTTGGCTTGCTGCAAGCAAGTGTATAATTTCTACAAGCAAGATTTTGTAAAGGCATGCATAACAATTGTTACCATATTTCCTCAAAAGTACGGCAGCACTTCAGCAAGACATATAAACATTTTTAGCTAACAGATATAATAGTATTATGCTGCATACCGCAAGATGAGGAACGGGATGGAGATTCTGATTTCTTGTGGATGTAGTGTTGCTAATATGTGAAGTCATTGAAGAAACAGCATTTGCTGTAGGTGACCTCTGTTGTCCATCAGGAACAATAGGACCATCAGACCACGGAACAGACGACCACATACCACCAAAACCAAACCTTGGATCCTGGTATCCTGAAGAAGGAAGACTACCAGGTAAAGCACCTTTACCAAATGAGCCACCAGGATTTGATAAATTATGCTGGCTGGGTTTTGGTTTCCCTGATTCATTGTTGTCATTTGTGCTTCCTTTAGCCACTCCATTTGAATTATGTTTTGCTGTATCTGATTGAATAGGAGTGAGGTTGGCGGCAGCAGATGTAGAAACATCTCCTTCAGAAATAGGAGCTTGGCTTGTGGTGTATGGTGCACTGGTGGGTGCGGGTGAATGGTAATATGTAGTTGGAAACTGGTACTGTTGGGGTCCATATAGCTGACTGTTGTGCCCCAAAGTTGGAACAGGAGAACCAGGAGCAGAATATGGAGTATAAGGAGCATAACCATATCCATGCTGATACATATCCCCATAAACTCCCTGCCAACAATCAAGAAATGCTGTCAAAACTTGCTATTACAACAAGACAACTCAGAACAGAGAGATCAGACTAGCAAAATCACTTTTCGGGTTCAAGTTTGTAAATTAACCTAACCTAGTGAGTTCAAGTTTGCAAATTAACCAACCAAATGACCAGAGTCTATCATCAATGTAAAAGAAAAAACACACACAATCAAAACTGACAACACAGCATGGAGTGTTTGAGACAATTTACAAGTGGGGGCACCTCCATTCCATCAGGACTAACATATCTTGGGTAATCCTCCCATTCGGTTATTGAAGCATCATAACCTGAAAATTTCCAGAAGCTATTAGGTGATTCGTTCATAGTAAAAAAACCAAGGCAGCTAAACTGTCTTTTGTGAACAGAACAAACATCCAGAAACTACAACATCATATCACATAAACATTCAGAGTTAAAATTGATTTAACCTCCATAATAGAAAGGTGAAGTGTATCCATTGGGAAAGTAGCACATGCTAGCATCCATATGCTCCTGAAGTAGAGGAGTCAGAGACCGCTTGCATGTTGGGATTGGAGCTATTGGCAATTCCCGACCATTTGCTGGACCATACTGAACTCCGGAAGGCTATTAGAAGAAATCAAATGGCATCAGTACCAACCTATAGCAATTCATAACCTACAAATCTGCAACAACTAGTTGGCAGAACTAATAAAGCTACCTTCTTTGAAACATCTGAAGAATCGTCACTCTTGTTCTTGGAATCCAGTGATAGCTTTTGCATCAGATCTGTAGCTTCTGTGACAAATTAATTAAGGGATAGAAGTATTTACTGAAGCTTTGAGATAAACATACACACGACGCAACGAAAAAGCAACTACAACAACATCAGAAAACATGTACTAAATCTACAGATCGTGAACAAAATGACGAATAGTATAATAAACGAACTGAAATCACGAATCAATCAACCAAGCTGATCGTTTCATCTCCACAAAATGAAAAACAACAACAACACAATCCAAAATCCCAGTTTGGCCAGCTTAAACGCTCAATTCGAAACAAAGACTCACGGAAACACCGTCCATCACGCTTGAGCCGCACGATCGACGGATAAACCCTAAAAACCAAATCGACGGTGCAAAATCAAGTCTTTACGCAGCCAAACGAATCGAAAACATATACAGAACGAGCGGATCGCGTCAAACAGAGCCTAAAGCGAAGCGGGAACAGATCCAGCACGAGGCGCCCCAAACCGAATCCCCAGCCGACGAAAGGATACGGTCAGCAGGAGGAGCGGGGGAGACAGCTGCCATGGCCGAATCTGGAGGTCGCTAGAGACGAGCGCGCGATTCCGGGAGGACGCTTGTATCCCAAACCCTGGAGAGGGTGCCGGGGGATAACCCTAGAAGAAAAAAGAGTGGGAAGGGAAGGCGCCGCCACGGGAGAGAAAGAACGGCTTGCAGTCGACACTAAGAAAAGTTATAGACGCGGAGCCACGTGTTTATTTGAGCACCAATTTTGGGCGGTACTTTTCTCGTTAATCCAAACGACTTGGACTTGGAACGACATTATTATACCTAATTTTACAATACTGTTATTTATCTGCGAAATATATTCATATACATTTTATATTGCACTATCAGATCCCCTCTCTCTCTCTCTCTCACTCATCACAAATATATATATATATATATATATATATATATATATATATATATATATATATACATCTTTATTTTTAATTTCATACTATATCGGTAAAACATGTTTATAATTAAATTATAATAGTCAAACATGTTTGGTTATAGCCGGGTCCACTACGGCGCTGAGGTTGCACCAATCATCTGCTTGGTAGGTCGTGGGTGATCAACGGATCACTTATATTTTTCTTTTGTATTCAACACTAACTTTGGTGTATATACCCCTTTAATACTGAATGACTTGCTTGTATACCCATTATAATTAACATCCATCCATTTACTGATGGCATAATAACAATTGAAGTTTAAAAAAAAAAAGTATTTTCTTTAAAATATAATAATATGTAATCTTACAAATTAGTAATTCTTATGTAATCACAAATAAAAATGATTAACATAAACATTATTGAACAGACACTAACGAAATAGAATATGTGAAAGATCTAAATTTTTAAGCATATTAAATGTTAGAGCAGACAATATATCATTTTCAAGCATTAAATGGGTAGACATGTAAAAGCACTTTTTTATTTGACTAGTCCTTGATTTCTTTAAGAATGGATCCTTGATTTTGATTTTATTTTTTGTTTCTGATAGCCATTATTTTGATTATTAATATGATTTAATTTTCTAAATATTAAATCAACATCGATGTCGTTCAATAATCTTAATTTCTTTTTTTAACCAATTACTAAATATGATTAATAATGGTTAATCTAAGTTTATTTGACAGATGCTAATGGGAGAAATACATGCTTTGAAGAGATATAAGCTAAATATTTGGAGGAATGCACGTGCTACAATAAATTTTGGAGGGGTAAATATGATTTTTTTTCCCAACTTTCAAAGAATATATATGTAGTAGACAGAGGCCATCTTATTATCCATGCAGCAGTATGCAAAATGATAATTATCATAAATCATTGTATAATTATATGTTTATTGTATGACATGGAATTTCATCATATTAGTTTAGAATCAAAATAAAGTCTCTCTCGTACAGTCTAAAAAAATATATAAATTAAAAGATCTTAATTAAATCCCACAGACAGCGATAATGTAAGTTAATCAGATCATTTGTCAGCATGACATGCATATTAGGGGGGAGGAGAACAAAAGCTATGCGTTTTTTAGCTCACAAAGCTAGGAAATCGAGTGAAGATAAGGTGTGGTATTGAGGGATTGCCAATGAATACAATTCATCAAAAGCTATTTGTTTGATGACCTTGTAAACACCCAAAATACTTCCAACGTATACATGAGAAGAATAAGGATACAAATAAGGTGATGTTTGAACAATGAGTTCGGTTGTTAGGGTTATTATTTAGCAACACAAAATTTTCTAATCTCTAGCATAATGAGACACTTTCATTCTGTTTTTAGACTATGAACAACTTGCAGAGAACCAATGCTTGCCATCTTGATGATTGCAGATAAATGAACCCAATCAACAAATCATGTTATTATTATCAGCTGATATTGATATTAATTAGTCAAAAAAAAAAAGGTACCGTGCAAGAAAAATGATATCAATTTTTGTCACCATACGGCCTGTCAGGTTGGAGAACCGATTGGTCCGAGGTTGAACTGGAATATCCGAGTTCTGACCTACAAAGACAGAAAGGAAAAGAAATATTGAGAATGTATTCAATGGGATCTAGAAAAATATAACAAAAAGAATGCATCGACTTTTAACTGTCAATTTGGACAACATGGCAAGATTGATGGACCACCGGGGCCATGCTTAGTGCCGACCAGAAGCATGCCAGAGATCTTATTGATGCAGAAGAATACCTTTATCTGAACATAAAGATGCAAAAGTACAGACATGGCATGTAAATTAACATCTTGCTTTTCTAGGATACATACTTCTATCTATCGTTCAAAACTAGAAGCTTTCTGCAGTGTGGCACGGGAAGGGTTTAAGAAATCTTAGCTGGCGGGTAAGATGGAAGTTTAGGTTAGATGAACCCATATCCATTGAGGAAAAAGAAGGACCCAAATCCGACAAAATGTGGTGCATGTTTTTGAAGAAACAGCCGCATTCCTCTGATAAACCAGAAACCAAGGCTTTATGCTCTTGTGAAGAACTTCTCACATCCCAAAAGCCTTTGAAGTATAGCAAATCTGCAGATTGTGTTGTGTGCCAGTGTACCAGGAAGTTCTTCACTGAGAGCACCTTAAATTCCATTCAAAATCCACAAGATAACAACTGCCATCATTTGTTTGATGAAATTGATAGGTCTCATGGATATATTACAATTGCTATTTGTTTAGAGCAGCATGAGGTCTCAACAATTTCAAGTCAAAATTTGTTGATTCTATCGAGAGAACTGTTTCAAACTCTTCTGTATCTGCACAATTGATACAACAAATTGAAGCAGCATCATCACCAGTAATCTCCACAGGAGCACACCCCGCCCCTGAAATTGTGGAACCCTGATGCATCTCTCACTGAGATCTCCCTACCGGTAACAGATGATACATACTTCATAAATGCATGACAGTCACCACACAGAAGAATGTTCTTCACCACCCTCACAGGTCGATCAGGTCCCGAAATTAGAAGCCCATATACAACTGCTAGTTTCGCACTGTGATAGAAGAGGAAGTTCTTTTTCTGGTATTCCTCCACTTCATGAAGCACAAAGCATGTATCTGGCTCGTACCCGGCCTTCATGCACTCCAATATCAGTATGTCCAGTGCACTATAGATGTCCTTGGATTGTGGATGTGATCTATCTCTTGCATAGAATGAATGCATTGTGTTATGATGAGTGATCCAGCTCCGTACAGGATGTTTCTGCAGGCCCTTTTCTCGCATGTCCTGCCTTACCTTTTCTGAGCAATGCCATCTCCCTGAAGCAGAATAAAGATTTGAGACAAGAACATAGGTAGATGGGTCTTGTGGTTCTAATTCTAGAAGGGATTGTGCCGCTTGCCTTCCCAAAGTCATGTTTGATCTCAATCTACAACTGTCAAGCAAAGCTCGCCATACTGATGCATTAGGCTTCGAAGGCATGTTCTTTATCAGCTGCTCTGCCTCATCAAAGGAACCCCAATAGCCTAAAACATCAACCATGGCAGAGTAGTGCTCTGAAGCCGGAATTATGTTGTAAGAGCTCTCCATTGAATGAAACAGTCCATGACAAACATCCACAGAGTTCGAGCTTGTATATCTGCATGCTGAAATGACCAAAAGAAAGGTGATGAAATCAGGCTTGACACCTACCATGTTCATGCTATCCCATACATCCAAAGCCTTGTCTCCCTGTCTATGAATAAGATAAGCCGTGATCAATGCATTCCACGACACTGTATCATGCTGAGGCATTTGACTGAAGAGACTAATTGCGTCCTCCAACCTTCCACACTTGGCATACATACTAAACAGAGCATTCCCTACTTCCACATCAGACAATAGACCAGACTTAGTGACAACACAATGAAGTTGCTGCCCCAGCTCAAAAAAACCTAAGGTACCACATAATCCAAGTATCATAGCTAATGCAAATGCATCCATAACCACTGGATCATCTCTGCTTAACCCTGTTTGGAAAAGATGTAAGGCCTCAAAATGCAGCCCACATCTAGAATGGGCACATATCAGAGAAGTCCATGCCACTGGAAAGCTCTCCTCATGGGCCCAGCTGGTGAACATCTTCTGGGCATCTTCAATCCTGCCACATTTGGCACACATGTCTAACAAAGCAGCCTCAACCCAAGAACTCGATTTGCAGCCGGACTTGATCACGAATGCATGAACCTGCTCGCTCATCTTCAAGTCAGAGACCATCCCACAAGCGTTAATAGCACTTGTCAGTGTAAAATCTGAAATCTCCAAGTCATTCTCCAGAATATGCTGAAATAAATCCAGGCCTCGATCACCTTCTCCGTTGTGATAAAACCCAGCTAAAAGAGCATTATATGTGACACAATTCCTCTCAGGCATCTGATCAAAGATATCAACAGCAGATTCCACCATGCCGAATTCCATATATCCAGTAAGCATCCCAGTCCAGGAGGTCACATCCTTTATTGGCATTCTCCAAAACACATCAGCCACATCTTCTACAGAGCCGAACTGAGTGTAGAATCCAACTAGAGCATTTCCAACACTCAAGTCCAACTCTAATCCAATTTTAAGAGCATAAGCATGAACAGCCTCCCCTCCTGCACCACCAAAGCCATGTGCAGCAGCTGTCAAGAGGGTCGACAGGGAGAAGCCATCCCCATGATATCCTTCCATCTGCATAAGATTAAAGAGCCTAAATGCTTCATCATACCTACATTCCTCAACCACGCCTAGCATAACTGCATTCCACGACGAAACATCTCTCTCGACCATTTCACCAAACAATTGATCAGCAGCGCTGGCGCATCCACACTTCACATACACCCCAAGAAGCGCATTGTTGACATGAACACAGGAACAATGATCGGTTTTGACGGCAAAGGCATGCACTTGGGAGCCGAGTCTGCCGTCCAACTGCCGGATGCAACTCGTCAAGATAGCCACGAAGCTGAACTCATTCGGTTCCACGCCGAGAAATCTCATCCGGCAGAAGAGCCCAGCCGCCTCGACCGGTCGACCGCACTTGGCGTACGCAGAGATCAACGACGAGAACGAGGCGACGTCGGGGGACGGCAACGCGTCGAACGCTTTGCGGGCGTCGGAGAGACGGCCAAGCTTGAGGTACATGGAGATGAGGGCGTTGCCAAGGCCGGTGTCCTCATTGTCCAGAGCCTTGACGGCGGCGGCGTGGGCGGCTCGGCCGAGGTCGAGGTCCAGGCGGTCGACGGCGAGGCGGAGGAGGCGGCGAGGAGCGAAGGGAGATGGGGAGTGGTCGCGGTGGGTGGGATTGGGTTGTGTTAGAGGGGATGAGGAGACGTTGGGGGGTTTGGGTTTGAAAGGCGGGAGAGCGAGAGGAGAGAGAGGGGAAAGGGAGAGGAGCGGCTTCATGTGGGTGAATGGGGAGGGAGGAGGGGGGATGGTGGTGGCCATGGAAGCATTTGGGAGGGCTTTGCTAGTTCTGTTGTGCGCGTTGGTGAGGACGCCAAGGATGATGGGGGGATTCGGGATGATGTGAGGAAGGGAGAGACGATGACCCCAATAAGCTCTTTTGGACAACAAAAATGATAACTTCTGCAATAATTGTGTCATTGGAATATCAAATTTAAAAGCTATATATATATATATTATATATATATATAAGCATTTATTTATTTATTTGCGGTTGGTATTTTTGAGATTTATCCTTGTAAACTTAAATTTAATGCGTATGTCATCTAACTTGTATACAAACCCTTACAGCCAATATGGATGATTTGGTCGTCGTTTGAGAGCTCAACAAAATTTTAATTAATATTAATATCGGCCAACATAGTACTACTTGAAAAAATATATTAAGAATATTTTAAATATTCTTTACTTCAATATTTTTTTACTCAAATTAATTGATCATAACAATAGTCGAAACTTGAAAGTTATTAACTCGGTTTTTTTTTTTATATTATCGAAGGTTACATATGAAGAATCTTAACATTTAGAGGGATATATATATATATATATATATATATATATATATATATATATATATATATATATATATATATATATATATAT